TAGTGTTCTGAGTTTGAAATTGAATTACATGGGGGTGCGTGGGGGTATGCTGCGTGGTTTGGGTGGCTGTTGGTGGGCCAAAATGTTTGATGGCTCAGTCCATGACCCAGCTAAGTCAAATGATTACTCGAAAACTTGATCCAACAATTGAGAGCTCATTTAGGATGAATAATTAGAGGTGAAGATTTGTGGGTCTGTGATTTTAAGGATGAAAAATGCGTGTTTGGATGGAGAGAAAATGAGAGAGAGAAAAAGTTCTTTATAGCTTTTTAGATCTGGAGGGGAAATAGAAAAAATTAGCTACAATTGCTAAATTCAAGTAATTACACACTTTTTCCTTAGGACATCACAGGACACTCTTTTAATTGCCATATCAGCACCCTATTCCTTTTAAATTCATGTTTGACCGGGGTGAAAAGAGCGGAGCTCGAGCCGATGTCTCGGGCTCAATTTAATAGTGAGTAGCTCAAATAACTCGAATACTGATTCGAGCCGAGTTTGATCATAGTACAACTCGACTAAAAAACTTGATTATCCTAGATTCAACTGAAAGCTCGGAAAACTTATTTAACGAGCTCAAATTCAAACCGAATTATTAATTCAAGTGGTGAGTTCGAACTTGATTCCTCAAGCTTGGTCAAGCTCAAATTCGGTACTATACAATCAAGTCAAGTTCGGATAGCTAGAACTGAACTCGACTCTATCATCTTGTTGACCTCTTAAATCTATTTTATAGCGTTTTCTATTTCTAAGTCTACCTAAGTTAGTTGTATTTGAATATGCTATTTACATTTTAAACTACTTATTATTTTGAATTTTAGATACATATACTTTAAAGTCTAACCAATGTATATACAGAAAAACCTCTTATAGTAATACTCTATAAGGAATAATCTCATGTAATCATAAAAAATTATGATCCAACTTGTGTAGTTATAAATAAGAATAAATTTCACATTTAATTATATATCTAAGTCTCGTCCTAAGGAACTGCTTTTCTATAGTAATAATTATATGTATATTACAAAAATATATGTTATATTACATCAAAGGTTTAAAACAAAATAAAATATTTATTAAAGTGTTTGGGACAAGTGATTTAGTTTTAGAGTTGTTACCACATCTTTATCTTGCGGTATGTAATAATCACCAGCATAAACACCTTCTAGTTGAAGCCAAAATTTTTTAGTTTCTAAGCATGTTTAGAGCTTCTTAGCATGAACTTTTGGTATTTCCGTACATCATCTTCAGGATTACCTCCTACTTTTATTGTTTAATTCCAATAATGAATTATTCTTCAGGTAAAGTATACACGATTGCTTATTTGGATGATTGATGAAGACATTAATATCATTTGATTATAGTGAAGTGGTCGAATCTAATCAATCAATTTTGCAATGACTCTTTAATATCCATTTTCGTTACTATCCTAATGCTAAAAAACAATAAATTGAAATCTTAATACTACTAAAATATGAATTATAAATCAAAATCAAAATAATAATTTTGGAATCAAAACAATAATTCTTGTAACTACACTTCTTTAAATATAACCTCCTCATAGTAATAAATTTAGTTGGTCTCAATATATAATTATAGAGAAGTTTTACTGTTCATGTAAAAGATGTTAAGTTGTGCCTAAGAACATGATTTGCTTAACATTAGTTTATTATAATAGGAGAGATGGTAGAAAATTTGAGTGTTCAAATCTCATAACTTCAAGACACGACACGGGCCATATAATTTACATGTTATGGGCTCTTCATAAATAGTCATCCTAGATCTCATCGGCCTATTATATGATTGGAATCAATAAACCCCAACCCGATGAATTTTGAGATGTTGATCATATGCATGATGCATGCACGAACAATCACCCAATAAGGATGATTCACATATAATATACTAATGAGAAATACCATGCCCACAATTAATCTCATAATTTCTCTTATAACTCTAACGTGACAACGAATTGACAACTCTCATGTTAACTCACACCACAGTTAAAAGCATTAAATGACTTTAGCTACATACGAACAATCGTTTCTTAAAAATGAACAATCAATGGCTGAATATATATATATATGCTAATGAGTAATACCATGCCCACAACCTAATCTCACAACTTTCTCTTATAATCCTAACGTGATAACTGAATTGACAACTCTCATGTTAACTCACACCACACTTAAAAAACTAAATGACTTTAACTAAATACGAACGGTCGTTCTTAAGAACGAACAATCAATGTTCCTTATGAAGAAACAATTATTCATTCCTTATGAATAAATCGATGTTTCTTATGAATAAAAACAATCATTCTTATGAATGAACGGTGTTATTCTAAAGAATGATTATCGTCTCTAAAACACGTTCGTTCATGTTTAATCAAACTCGTCAGTTGATATGGTAATATCATATTGGGTTGTAAGAAAATGTTATGAGTTGGTTGTAAAGTAGTATTTTTATATAGTCATTGAGAGGTATACATGATCAAAAGTACGGAAAGTTTCTTCTACCCACGACTAAATATTCGAGGTTGAGAGTTGGGATGGTGGGAAAGAGAACACAGCCATGAAATGATAAGAGTATAGTTTCATTTACATCTATGAAATGCATTTTACAGTAAATCAGTTAAGTTGAATATCAAAATATGAAAATTCAAGAAATATTAAATGAAAAGGAAAGCTTTAGGTAAAGTATTACTGATACCTCAAATTGCGGTTAACTCTCTTCGATCTTCAAACTTGTAGTGTTCTGTTCAACCATTCACTTCTATTTACCAAATTATCATTAAAATAAATAAATAAAAGAATTTGATGTTAGTGCAACGATTAAGGACTGAGAAGAAATTATAATAAAAATTGCAGTAGAAGCTGCCTTGTCAAAATCAATAATACATAACATCACCACAAATAAACAATCCAGAAACTTTGACACTAAGTAAAATGAATCAAGTATTTTACATAAAAAAAGACGCCGTTTCCAATCTCCTGCGGATTGCCTTACCGAGAAGCAAACCACCTGCGCCCACTGCCTCAATCCACCTTCCCCGTTTTTGGATCTTCACCTATAATCACAAAATCAACAACCATTAGATCAAAATAAAACATCATAAATTGAACCTCACCACTTTCAAAAACTATCACAAAACAACCCTATCTTTGATGTTTGTTTGCATACCTGCATCAAAAATGGTACTAGAACTACAGGAATCGCTATCAGAAAAAATGGAGGATGTCGACGAGGACCTCGACAATATTACTATACTGTTTATTCAAGCACAATAAAACCCTAAAGCGGGTAAAGTATCCGATAATTCGGATCAAGTACCGGCGAATCAGGTTCAAATCCGAAACCAACTCGATAGACCCTTTCAACTCGTAAATCGTCGTCTGTAACGCTCTTGCTTCGTTGTCGAAAACAATGCATTTTATAATTCCCTTCCGCCGCTGCCACGCTCGTCTCGCTCCGCATCGGGAGACAACGACCGTGCTTGTACAGCGGCCTCGGCAATGTTGATGGTGGTGGCGGCGGCACGTTGAATTCGACATAGGCCCCGCCGCACGCCCGGTGAGTTTGTAGTGGTGGCTGTCGACGTGAGAGATTTTTCGGGTTTGTAATTTCAAATTTGTGCCTCTCCCATTTATATATATATATATATATATATATATATAGACGAGGTAAAGGTGGGCCAGGGTAGTTGGTGGGTCTACACGTGGGACCCACTAAAATATTAATTACATTTTGCCACGTCATTTCGTTAGGCACACAACCTGGCGTTAAATAAATTTTTAATTCTAATCGCGCAAAACTCAATTAATTATTTTGATAAATTAAGAAAATGTAGCTAATTGATATGATGCCAAAATTGGGGGTGACAATTGATTTTTGCCCTAATTCTTTTTTATTTTATTTATTAACATTAAACATTATTATTTTGGTTATGATATGTAATTATTTCATTTAATTATGATAATAAAAGTAAATTAATTCACCCTTTTTTCACTTTTTGTTTTTCAAAAGAAAAGACTGCAGAGATGGTTCTTGAAGAAAATTCAAATAAAAGTTGAATGAAAACAAGCTGGCAAAATAGGAAGAATGGGGGAGGGGGAGAAGAGAAGAGATGACTTCAAAAGTTTTAACGTGTTTCACAATCTATTCTTTGATGGATGGGTCAAGAGTTGGTGCTTCCTTTTCCAGATAAGCATTTAAATTTCTCACAAGGGGCCCTTGCCACCCTGTGTTTGCTACATTGAAAAAGAAGCATTTAAATTTCTCACAAGGGACCCCTTGGGTACACAATTTTTCTCTACCCTATTCCCTATCCGATCCAAAATACACGTTTATTTCCTTATTATCAAAATATTATTCTATCCATTTTAAACCCTCTAAATTTGTTTGTTTAACCAAACACCTCCGATTTTTATTCTTTTTAAGAAATTGACAAAAACACTTTAGCAACCCACATTTGTCAGATTCTGGCCACCACCGCTGAAAGTTGACCGAAATCTGGTATAATGACGCACTACCGACTGGATTTGGTCGATAGGTGTCGATTTAGCATTTTTTAGCTAGATCCACGGTGGATTTGGCCGAAAAAAGTCAGATCTACGGCCAAATCTTTAGCCATAGACAGTCGTCAATGACGGCCAAGATCTGGTCATCAATGGCCAGATTTAGTCATAGATCTGGCCTTTTCCGGCTAGATCCACTGAAAAGGTCATATCAACGCACTATCGACCAGATCCAACCGATCGTGTGCCGATACGGCGACTCCAGCCACCCTCCGACGGTGGTAGCCGACTATCAATTTAATGGGTGGGTGGGAGTGTTTCTGTTAATTTTTAATATTTTATTATATGGGTATTTAGGAAATAAGCAAACCTATAGGGTATTTTTGGTAATTTCTAAATCCTACATCGTAATAACTATCTAATTTTACTTTTTTCAAAATATTATTTTAAAAAGTATAGAATAATGAGCCAAGTACACCCTAATTTGCATTATTCAATAGCAATATGAAAATATGTCAACTTTTGTTTGGTAGACACCACAGCTTCAATGACATTACCTTTCTGAAAATATGAGTCTTTACAACTTTCATGTTGCCTTTTCTTCTCATTTAGTCCAACTGCACTTTGAAAATATATGCTTGACATTGGATGCCATAGAATATATACAATACATCCGGATTTGGTGACCAGGACAATATTGGGCAACCATCCATGTCACCAGTAGTCTCCACAAGAACAGATCCCCTCTTTGAAGTGATGAAAACGGTTTGAGTCCCTAACGATAATCTCTCTCTCGGTGATTTGTGATATAAATTTAGTTGCGTTGTGACAGTCGCCGCAAACTCGTAAGTTCTTGAATATTCGGATGGGACTTTTAGGAGGGGTGCTAATGATTCCAAATGCGATTGCTAGTCTCTCACTATGACTTGAGAGGATAAATTCCTTCTCATCATCTTCGACATCTTGTAACACAAAACTGTAGTCTGGAACATAACCAAGGCTCTTCATTTTTGCGGTTAAATTCCTCAACTCGCTGTATATTTCTTCACATTTCGGATGAGTTTGATTCCCAGTATAGAAGACATCAACCTTGCTGTTCACTTCTATTGAACTCCACCCAGGTGTCTTCTTCAATCCTCTGACTCTAGCTAAGGATCTCACTTTATTAACTCCTTCCCATTTCCCAACATTTGCATAAATATTTGACAACAGAACGTAGTAGCCAACATTCTCTGAATCTACTTCAAATAAACGATCTGAAGCAAATGCACCCAACTCAATGTTTCCATGTATCCGACATGCACCAAGAAGAGCACCCCACACAGAAGCATCAGGTTGTAGTGGCATATTTTTGATAAAATCATAAGCCATTTCTAATTGCCCAGCCCGACCAAACAAATCTACCATGCAGCCATAATGCTTCAAATGAGGCTTGATCTTGTACTCTTCCTGCATCATACGGAAATATGATTGACCATCACTAACCAAACCTGAATGACTACATGCTGATAACAAAGATACAAAGGTTATATCATCTGGTTTCACTCTCTCATCTAGCATCTCTCTGAATAGGTTTAGAGCTTTTTCACCATGCCCATGTACTGCATGACAGGATATTATGGCATTCCAGGGGACTGGACATTCTCTTGGAATTTGGTAGAATAAAGACATAGCATCATCTAATCTCCCACATTTTCCATACATGTCAATAAGGCAAGTTCCCACAAAGACATCCATGTATAGACAATTCTTAATCACCCTGCCATGAACTTTCATCCCCTGTTGCACGGCTCCTACATGGGAATAAGCTGGTAGAAGGCTTACCCAAGTGCCATGGTTTGGTATTATCCCATTGCACTCTTCCATCATCTGGTAGACTTCAATTGCCTCACTCGCAAGACCATTTTGAGCATGGCCAGTGATCAATGTGTTCCACGAGATCACATCTTTTACAGGGAGTCCTTCAAAAACTGAACGAGCAGAATCTATGTCACCCAACTTGGCATACATATCCACAACTGCATTTCCAATTACAACATCATGCATAAGCCAACCTCTCCTCATTACGAATCCATGTATTGACAAGCTATTCTTATGATCATTTGATTGAGCAACAATGGAAGCCAAGCTCACTAACGTCAACAAATCAGGCTGAATTCCAGCTCTTTGCATCTTGTTAAAGAACCTAAGGGCAGTAATTGGATCATTATTTTGCTCATATGCAGAAATTATTGAGTTCCATGAAACAACATCTCTCACTATCATTTGGTCAAAAACTTTAAGTGCCAGCTCCAAGATACCAAATTTTCCATACATGTTGATCAAGGCATTGGACACAAACAAATCATATTCCAATCCATGTTTTATAACATACAAATGAATCAACATCCCAGTTATAATATCACCTGATTGTGCACAAATGGGAAGAATACTTGCAATAGTAACCGAGTCCATGTTAACTCCTTCCAATCTCATTTTGTCCAATACATTTAGAGCTTCTATAGCATTCCCACTTTGGCAATAACTAGAAATCATGGCATTCCAAGAACCCCTATCTCGGACAGGCATATCATCAAATAATTTACGCGCAACATCTGCTAGACCAAATCGGGCGTACATATGTAACAAGGAAGCAGCCACAAAGACATCCCATTCAAAACCTAGCTTAAAAACTGAGCAATGTATCTTCTTCACTTCAACTAGATTTCTACAGGCTTTCAGCACAGGAGGAAAAGTATAAAAATCAGGTCGAAGACCAGAGGTCAGCGAAAAATGGTAGAAACAATCCAAAGCTTCCCAGAAATGGCCTCTACGAACATAAGAAGAAACCATTGAATTCCATGTGAAAACATTCTTATTCAAGATCTGATCAAAAGTGCGGCGAGAAAATGAAACATCACCTAGGTTGGCATAACGATTGACAAGCTTGGTGGCGATAAAGATGTTTTGAATCTTTCCCGATACCACAAGAAACGCATGTAAGAACTTAAGAACGTGCAATCTGGTGCACGATTCAAGTAGAACACCAAAATCAATCTCTCTGTTGTCATTTTTAGCTCTATCTGATGAAAGTAGCAGAGAATTTGCAGCTGCTGAAAACAATGGGCAACGAGCTTCAAATAATGGCAAGAATCTGGAAAGGCACCCACCTCTGAAGATTGGTGCCAATCTGAGTACAAGATAAAGCAAATTAACAGTAAGTGCATGAAGGATAATAACTAACATGGATATAGAAGTGTGTTCAATGGTCAATACTATCTTGTTCGAAAATCTCTTCACTTTAACAGTAATGAATTAACACACAAACTCCATTAATTATTCTCAATGGGATGACAAGCAATTCGGCTTCAACACCAAGTGCTTCACTACAGTAAATTTTAAAGCTTACATGAACCATTCTCAAGCCGAAAAGATATCAAACTGGAATCATTTTTTTAGCATTTCACACAAAAAAATGAAGGTTCTAAGCAGTGATTATCAATTTAAATTTATACATACGCAATAAAATCACCTATGAAGGTTTCTGATAAAATACAACAACACAAGAGGAAAACAAATTTTAAGCATTTATAAATTTTTATCTTGTTCTCGTGAATATGTAGAGTACCCAATAAAATAAGCTAAAAGGGTATTCAAATAAGCTTAAATCATGGAAACCCCAAAAGTCAAAAGTATTAATTTATATTCTTTCATTTTCCTGCACTTTCCCATCGACCAAACAGAGCTTAAAAAAATCCAAGAAACAAAGAGAGAAATGGAATGTCTTTGTACCTGAACATACATGTAGATTGCACTGAGATTATATCAAACAACAAATCGAATTGCCTTTACGGATGCGCGGCTTAATAGTGTGTAGACTGCAGATTGAACCAAGGTTTAGTGCAAGGGTTTTAAGAGAAATCTTTCAAGAAAAACGTTGGATGGGCCAAATTTTTTAATGGCCGGAATAAATTGGGCTCACATTGGGCCGCTCGTAATGGATCTAGTTCTACAATAACATCAGCCCGTAAAGGTTTCTATGATCCTTCTCATTCTGGTTCTATTCGAGAATACTCTTTCTCCGAATACGAAATCTATGGTACATTAGACGTAGGGGTGGAGCCAAAAAAAAATTCTGAAGGGTCAAAGTGTAATATTAAATAAACGTGGGGGCCAGAAAGTAATTGAAAAAAATAAATTTACAGGGTTAAAGTGTTACATTCGAAAACTGAGGGTGGCCATAGGAAAAATTGAATTTATAGAGGTAAATTGATATTTTTCTATATGAATATTTTAGGGATTAATAACAATAATCCCCCTTAGGTATGATTAAATGAAAAAAATTCTCCTATGGTTAAGTACTTACGAAAATCCTCCTATCATTAAGTTTTTTATGTTAAAGTTAACAGTAGAGGGGTAATTAGGTAAATACTCATTAACCGACCATATTATAAATTCTAATAGTATACTAACGGCTCACTAATAGTAGGGGGATTTATGCTATTTTCTGAAATCTAAGGGGAATTTTTTGTTATTTGATTAAACCTTGAGCTGGTCGAGCCATAACTCCATTTTTTTTAGACATCTCAAATTTTAACACTTTAAATAAGTTCATACTAGCTTATATAAAAGCTAAAAATTTGAGTTATTTTAGTATGTGTATATATATACAGTAAAACATTTCTATAGTCATAAAGGTGGGATCAAAGTAATTTTATTACAAAGAGATTATAACTTAATAAAAATGTAATCACAAAAATTACTGTTTTGATTTCTTATTTTATAATTCACGTTGTACTAAGATTTTAATTCATTATTTTAGTAGTTATTAGTGCGATTAGACAACAAGAGAAATAAAATAATCCTGAGGATGATAGTACGGAAATACAAAAAATTTCATGTCAAGAAGTTCTAAATATGCTTGAAAAGCTAAAAATATTTTGGCTTCAATAATAAGGTGTCGGTACTAGCGAGATATTCCGTACTCGCAAGTTAAAAGATGTGGTAAAAACTCTAAAGTATGAGTCATTATCTCAAATAAATTTAAATAAATAATTTATTTCATTTTAAATCTTTAATGTAAAATAACTTTTTTTTTTTTTTTTGTTATAATATACATATAATTATTACTATGTGGAGACAATTTTCTTAAGACGAAAATTAGAAAAATTATAACTTATTACAATGTGAAGTATATTCTTATTTATAACTATGAAGATTATAATTTTTTTTTACTATGTAGATATTATTTTTATATATATATATATATAGATATATATATACTATATATATATCTAGTACTATTTATATTATATATTCTTATAATAATATATATATATAAACTTTAAAATTCTATAATATTTTCCAGAATACAATCAAATAATGTTATAAAATTAAAAAAAAAATGTTTACACCTTCAAATAAGTCATTTTGATCCATAGATAGGCTAAATTATACATGCTCAAATAAAAATAATTATCCTTTATTATTAGTGGAAAACACATTGAATATAAGAAAGTAAAAATGACGGTGATATGTAAAGTAAAAGATAAGAGAAGAATGTAACAAGTATTGAATTGTAACGAATAGGACTAGTTAACAACATATAATTATTTAATGATCGAGGATTAAATAATCAAAAATAAATATTTTAAACCTACAGTCCCAGATAGTCAAGATGCAAGTAAGTTAATCCGAACATCTCAGTTAATAAAAAAAAAGTGTTTTCTAGAAGTAATTGTGCCTTTCTATCTTTACACTAAAATAAGTTGAAGTGGGTGTCCATTAAAATAGTTTTACAAAAAGGGGAAAGATTTTATTGGGCTAAGAAGCCTTCCCTTTTTATCTTCACTTTTCAAACTATCAAAAGATTTTCTTCTTCTTGTTCTTCTTTATACCAACCATATCAAATATTCCACCTTACCTTTGCTACAATTAATTTAATATAAACCCTAATTTTTTTTATTTTATTTTTTACAACTATTTAAATAATAATAATCATAATATAGATTGTGTTAGGTCAATAGTATAAGATTGAGATTCATTATTTTAATTTATTTACTAAAAAACATTATCATTTTCAGCTATTTTTATAAGCTCATTCCACTAATTTCAAAGATACATTAATAAATTAATATGGTATTTTACGCATGTCAATCTCTGCCCGGCCGCCATATAAATATTCAGGCAACAAACCACAAGAGATTTTTTTTTAATATTATTGTCATCAACCAAATAAACAATTTATGAAAAATAAAAATCTATAATTTTGATTCAAATATCAAAAGTTTTTTTTCCCCTGATAATCGCAGTGTTCAGGTCAGCTTGCGTATACTTCCACTAATTTTCGAGGTCTATTAAACACCCTACAAGTTCAATGAGTCGGGTAAGTCACAAATGTGATAAGTGACCACTTTATAAGATTCAAACACGAGACTTTTGGGTAATCCATCAAGATTTGTTTGAGGAATCTAACACTTATAAATTTATCTACTTAACTGAGAAATCAAACTTATAAATTAGTAATAAACGACGTGATAAAACAATGAATTAATTTCCTTTGTCTCATGAGATCGATAAGTTTTAAACCCGCTAACGATTTTTGGACTTATTAAATACTATATGTATCGATTTTGGGTATTTTCCCTCTCAAGTTTTTGATAATTTCATACGGGTTTTTGGTCGAAAAGCAATATTACACTTACAATCTGATTTCATAAACTTTCTCTTACAACTTCGACGTGACATCTTGTAATTAGTTAGTTTATAAAAGTGTTTCATCTGTCCAATTGTGAACTGTCATGTTGGAATTGTAAGATTAAGTTGTGACATAATCTTCATCCTTTGGTCGAGATGGAGACCTTGGATAAAATATTAAATAATTTTTTAAAATTACAAAAACGCTTGAAATTTATTGATCCGTTAAAATGTATTTTTCATTAAATTTATAAAAATAAAAATGGAAAAATGGAAACAATAATTGAGAGAGGACGGTTTGGTGACGAAGCAATGGCGAGAAGACACGTGTTAATGGGGTGAGATTAGTGGAGAGGGAATAATGTCAGAGATTATTATCTCTTTAAAAAAACTCACCAATTTCCAGGCAACACCTCACCTGTACGATCCTCCATACATCTCACCCCTCTCAAATCTGAACCATCTGATTTAAAGCTACTGCATGTGCAGGTGACGTGGACCCACCCACACCACTACCGTTATCAATTATCAAATCAAAGGAATCATAGTCCTCCACGTGGCGCACGGATCCCCACTATCAGTGCCAGAATGTTAGGAAGTGAAAGGAAAACAAGATCGCTTATCCTGATTGGCTAATTTTAATGGTGCACGCGTGTCCTTCCTGCCGTCTTACTGCATCCACATTCCACCCTCATAATATCTTATTCATTTTCAATTATTTTTTTTTTTTTTCGAATATCGCTACAAATTAATGTCCTATTGCATTCTTTTCTCGGTTAAATTGAAAATAAACTTAGTGAAAAAATATATATATTTTTTAATGATATTGGAGTTTAACTAATTTGTGCGTACATCAATTAATCTTTTGAAGTTCTATAACTACCGGTCAGGTAAGAGTTCTAGTGACCATCCCTATTAAGGTTGTGTAGACTCGAACTCGAGAGACTATGTTAGATCATCCTCTTACTCTTTTATCATCGAAGGGACTGGAATGGTGGTTGATATTTTTTCTAATTTGGAAATCTTCTAACCTCGCTTTGAGAAGTTGAGTTTGAAATCGAAGCTTCTATCGAACCCTAAAATGTTTAGCTTACAATTATAAACTTCTGAAACATTTCAATGCAATTTTTTATAACATAGAAATATTTGGCAAGTTGGGTTTGAATTTGGAGCTCCAATCGAATCTTACAATATTCGACCTATAATCTTATAATGATTCTAGTCTCGCTTTAAGAAGTGAAAAGTTCGAAATTGGAAATCCTGCCAAACCCTACGGTCTTTGGGGGAATTAAATCCTAAACTCTATGGGAACAAACCACAAGTCTAATTGCTTAGTTTACCTTTACCTTTCATAGGTCGAAGTGGTGTTATATATACAAACTCAATATACAAAGTAATGCATAAAAACTGACGTGACACTCACGTCATTTATTTATATTTATTAAGCATTTAATGAAATGAATTTTTTAAATAAAACTTAATCAAATTAATTTTATTTTTCAATTTTATTAAGGACAATAATACTATATTTACAACTCAATTTCAAATACCTTCTCTTACAATCCCGCAGTCTACAATTGATCAGCTCGTAAATGGATTCTGCTTGCCCATTTGTGAACCGACCAATTACCCATCTACTATGCACAATCAATCATATCTTAGAATATCAACCGCTCGAGGTGGTGGGTGGTCTGGGTGCATGTTAGCCACCACTAAACTGTGTCGTTTTCTAGAGATACGACGACTACTCCCCTAAGAGAAGACAGGAAAGGAGTCAGAGAAAATGGGGGAAAACGGATTTGAGTGGAGTTTTGATGAGAAAAAAGAGGAAAAGATGAAAACGAAACTCTATATATGTTTTCATTGTTTTTTTGTTTTTATGTTTTCTTTCAACATTATCATGCAGCGTGTTTCCTTAACTCAATATGCGTTTTTCACTGTGTGTCGTTTTTGGAATTTTCTGCCATTGGAATCCTCCACTTTATTTAAGAAACCCTTTTGACCTTTTTTACGGTTCATGCCTATCCACCGACAAAGAGTGATATTACCATTTTGGATGACCTTTTTTGACATAATTCCTCTAAAGATGTGTCATAAGGTCCGATTATTTCAGGAAAAATAAATAAAAAAAACGAAAAATTTGAAAATAATTATATATTTCATCTTAATTTTGTTTTTAATGACTAGAGGTGTCCAGAATAGTTTACGCATACTTCAATTAATCTATCAAGATTTTGAAATTATCGATCGAGTAAGACTTCCAATGATTACCCCTGTTAACAACCGAGGAGAGATTCAAATTTAAGACCTCTTAAGCAATAAACAAAAAAGTCCCTATCGAACCACTCGATCATCGAAAAATAGTTAATTTCATCTTAAATTCATAAAATACTGTTGTTTACAAGCCATTACATAATGATCTATCTCACGTTACGAGTTGTTTAACATATAAATTAAGGTTGTATTTATTATTGTTTTCGTTTTTTTTTTATTTTTTATTTTTTAAATTTTGGATCTCTATTTTATCTCATAGAATGTGTAATATTTTTTTACTTACTATTTTCATTTTTTAAAATTGAAAACAAGAAAACCGAGAATCTAATGCATGAAGCATGATTTAAAAAATTGAAAACTCACAAAAAAAATTATTTTATATATTTTCATTCTCTACTTATCACAATATTTAATATTTTATCATAAGAAAATATTAATGAATCCATTTTCAAATTCAAAAACATAGACTTAAGCTATTTATTTTTATTTTCAAAAACAAAAACACTGAAAACAAAAATGAACCCTTAGTCAAATTCACTTAAAACAAAAACACTGAAAACAAAAATGAACCACTTAGTCAAATTCACTTAAATATTTAAATTAAAAGAGACGACAAAACTTTGACAAGGAGAATTTAGTAATTTTTAATTTTGGCTTAGAATAAACGAACGCAATCCCCTCTTCAACAAAAACAAAAAAACAATTTCACATTACAGTATTTCATCAAATCATAAATAAATCTAACATTTGATTAACGGAAAGTATCAAACACTCTCTGTGCAACCTACCGCACACAATCTCTCTCCCCGTAATCCTCACACATCACGACACGCCTCTATCGCCAACCAATAACAAACCATGACCACTAAGCGTCCAATCATTCTTGTCGGAATGTCAAAATCGACGGCGCGGATTCACCCACATAGCGGCGCGCCATTGGCTACTTTTCACATCAGTATTTCAACCCTTCCTCATTGGTACACGTTGCGCGTTCTGCGTGGCCCTCAACGTAATAATTTAATTTATAAATAAATAAAAAATTAAGAAATTCAAAAGCCAAGTTCCTTAAATGGCGACTCGTGTCGAGTCTCAGTAGACACTTGTCGACTCTAGGCAGCTGAAGCTCAGAGGAAGAGGACACACTTGACACTCCCACGCGACACTCTCTCTCTGGTCACTGTATTTTCAACAAATATTTCAAATTTTTTTTTTTTTTTTAAAGGTAAAATTTAATTCCTTTATTATTTTTATTTATTTATTTTTCCCTCTCTCTCTCTCTGTCCGTATTTTGTTCTGTTCTGGGTTTATTTTCTTTTCTTGAAAATATAATTTTGCTAAAAAAATTATTTTATTCTTTTTATTTGAATTTCTGGGATATTTTCTTCAGTAAAAAAATTAAATTGAGGAGATGTAAGGTTGATTGAAATGAATTAGAATAAGGGATCATGCAATTTTAATGAATGAAAATGTTTTGATTGGGTTTATTTATGAACTGAATTTTAATGGAATAGTTGGAGTAGAAATTTTGAGTTGATGTGTTAGGGTTTGTTTGGATTTGAGTTGAGATGTGAAGTTAATGGAAGTGTTTTGATTGAATAGTGAAGTATGCTGGTTGGTTTGAGGGTTTCCGATGTGTATTTGGATCGAAATTCGAGTAAGTTGTTGGAGAAAAGGAGTTGTGATTGGTCTGATCTAGATCAATTTGGATGGTTATGCAGGATAGCTTGTCTTTTCGCGGTTGATTGAGAGCTTTGTAGTACACACTGGGTAAAGATAACTGGAATGGTTACTTTACAAGCATGTTGTGTATTTTTCCTTTCCATGGTTGCAATTATTTGAAGTTATGTTGTCGCGTACTGTTTTTTATTTTTTTAAGCTGCTTACTTTCTTATTTATTGCATGGGTACATCAGTTCTGAGTTATGAAAAAGTTTTATCTAAAAATGGAATAAACATGAGAATGATATGTGTGATTTGCTCTCTATTTACTAAATTTGGTGGAATGTTTAGGTCTTAAGCTGAAGACTTGAAGGAAGTTAAAGGAAGTGGAGTTAGATATTCTTATGTTCCACTTCTGTTGTATGGAATTATAAGACCATTTTGATTGGAGTCAAGTGCTGCCACTGCTTTAAAAAAAGAATGGGATCTCATATGAACTTCAAGAACTTTGGTGATGCCTCACATGGTGAGATAAAGCCTCAAGGGAATTACCCATTGACTCGACAACCTTCAGTTTACTCATTGACCTTTGAAGAGTTTCAAAATACTTGGGGTGGGCTTGGAAAGGATTTTGGCTCAATGAACATGGATGAGCTGCTGAAAAACATTTGGACTGCTGAAGAAACTCAAGCTATGACTTCTGCAGCTGTTGCTGGTGTAGAAGGAAGTACCCCTGGTGGGAATTTGCAAAGACAAGGATCATTAACTTTGCCCCGAACATTGAGTCAAAAGACTGTTGATGAAGTTTGGAAGGATTTGATAAAAGAAACTGGTGGTGGTGCCAGGGATGGGAGTGGTGGTGGAGGTGGCAGCAATGCATCAAATGTGCCACAAAGGCAACCAACTCTGGGAGAGATGACATTGGAGGAATTCTTGGTGAGAGCAGGAGTAGTGCGAGAGGATGCTCAACAGATTCCTGAAAGGGCAAATAATATTGGACTTTTTACAAATAATGGCAATACTGGTTTTCCTCTGGGGTTTCAGCAGCCAAATAGAGACAACAGGCTGTTGGGTAATCGTGTAATGGAGAACAACAATTCAGTTCCTGGTCAGGCTCCTGGTTTACCACTGAATGTAGGTGGGGTCAGATCCTCACAGCAACCACAGCAGCTGCAACAGCATCAGTATCAACATCCGCAGCAGCAGCAGCCGCTCTTCCCCAAGCAAGCAACTGTGGCCTTTGCCTCTCCAATGAATTTAATGAACACAACACAGCTTACAGGAAATTCTCCGGGAGCAAGGGGTCCAGTTGTCAATGCTGCAAACCAATCTATGAATAACAATTTAGTTCAGTCTTGTGCACTGCAGAATGCTTGTGGACTGCAGAATGGAGGAATGGGCATGGTTGGTTTGGGTACTGGGGGCGTCACAGTTGCAACAGGATCTCCTGCTAGTCAGGTCTCGCCAGATGTGATTGCAAAGAGTTCTGCTGAGTCTTTGTCACCAGTTCCTTATGTGATTGGCCGGGGAAGAAGAGGCAGTGCTCTGGAGAAAGTAGTTGAGAGGAGGCACAGAAGAATGATAAAGAACAGAGAGTCAGCTGCTAGATCAAGGGCTCGCAAGCAGGTGAGTATGGTGAATGGGCTGCTATTTGTTTTTTCCGCTCTGGATAATCTTTCTTTTCTGTTGTTCATTGTTATTCTGAATTGATCTTTAAATTCAGGCTCACTCTTAAGGACACATTTTTCATAAAACTCTCACTTGCCAAGTGATTTTTTTTTTTATTCTTTCTAAATGCAGTTGAGGAATTATGCCATGTATAGAGTCAAGTTTTTTGTTGTATACTGCCTCTGGGTGTAGTGTTAGTCTGACAGAGAAAAAGTTATGGATATACTTAATAGAGTTATGAAGTTGTAGATTTTGTGCATCCCTCTCAGTTTAAACTCTTAACTTGCTTTTCTTGAAGAAAGTTTAATGTGTATATCAACAGAAATTTAGAATCATTGATGTTCTGGATTTTCTTTGTGTTTTCTTATGAAGATGCTGCAATCTGCACGTTTCATTTCTGGTGTATCTAGAAGTTATCATATTGTCGACATTGTTAGCTTATATTGCCCCAAGCAATGGAGGAAATTTGTGCAAATGTAAAACACTGAAAGGGAACAGTACAATTTGGGAATGAAAAAGGGAAAAACTTATGAAACAGACATATATTAACTCCTTTAGTAACACTTCCGTTTTTATGCATAATTAGCCTTGGGCACTTACTTATAATCAGAGAAGGTGGTTTACTCAATTATTCTTACCAGAAAAACTTTAGATTAAACTACTATTGTTACTAAAGGAAATCAGATGACTTGGTGACTGGTTTTGCTAGTATCTTATTAATCATATGTGAGCTAAAACATGAAGCAGAGAAAAAATTTTTAGACACTGATTTGTACAATCCTAGAGTTGTTTGAAGAGTTCTGTCGATAAGGAACNTACTTATAATCAGAGAAGGTGGTTTACTCAATTATTCTTACCAGAAAAACTTTAGATTAAACTACTATTGTTACTAAAGGAAATCAGATGACTTGGTGACTGGTTTTGCTAGTATCTTATTAATCATATGTGAACTAAAACATGAAGCAGAGAAAAAAATTTCAGACACTGATTCATACAATCTTAGAGTTGTTTGAAGAGTTCTGTCGATAAGGAACAGTTGAATGGATATATTAAGCTCTTTTTCACTATAATGTTGTTTATCAAAAAACTTATACTTATTATAGATGAGTGCTTTAATTTGGGTGTTTGGCAGGCCTATACATTGGAACTGGAAGCAGAAGTTGCTAAACTTAAGGAAGCAAACCAAGAGTTGCAGAAGAGACAGGTATGTTATCTTTACCAGTTCAAAATCTTGTTCTTTTACTTGGAATATTTGGGTTATGGCAAACCCCCTTAATCTAACTCTGGTTGTTGCAGGCTGACATAATGCTCGTGCAGAAAGATGAGGTATATTTCCGTTTACTTCAATCTCTTTATACTTTCAAAAACTTGATGCAAATGTTGTGTTGGTGTTGCTAACCACTTAGCCTACCTTCTTACTTTTGATAAGAAACTGTAAACGTTTTGTAGCAACTTAGCCCTACTTCACGGAGTTTCCCCCAGAAAACAAGGACTCTGCATCAAACATTTTTTTCTGTTTGTGTCTTCAGCCACAATTTTTTATTTTTTATTTTTTTGGCCTAATGATGAGAAAAAACTAAGTTGACCATGTAAATATATTACATCCAGGGTACTATGCAGCTGATCCACTGTTTGGATCACTTTTGTGTGTCTGGTGAGGATAAGGTGTTTAGTCTAACCATATTAAAAAACCAACTCTGGTAATAAAGAGTTCATTATCTGCCATATCAATGAACTACCACTAAAAGGCCAAAAGTGTCATCTTGGTTGCCTAAACATGAACGCAGTTAGATAGAGGAGATGAGAGTATACTACAATTTTGCATCTCTCTAATTGGGTCTTAAGTCAGCAACCAATGATCTTGATTAAGTTAACCGTAAAGTGCGAGTCAAATTGTGTTCCTTCATAAACTTCTGAGGTAAAAAATTATTCCTGAGGTAAAAGAAGTTGGTTTTCTTATTTATTCTGGTTATTTGTTTTGGCAGCTTTTGGAGAAAATGAAACAGCACTATGGAGGTAGGAGGCTATACCTGAGGAGGACACTGACAGGTCCTTGGTAGAGTTGATGAACTGGACTGCTGATGATAAGAAGTGGTTGAATACATAATCAATATGGTATGAGGATTGGGGTACGCGTCTTTGATCTATATCTCATTTCATGAAGGGTAGGAAGTTAGGTAGCTGTATGTATAAACAGAGTGTTGTAAATTATGAACTGAAATTAGTTTTATACCACTTATATCTGTGAGACTTCTGTTGTGTCTAATTTGATTGTAAGAGGATAGTAGAATAGTGAAGCTAAATGTATGCTCCAGTGTGTTATTACTGTCTAGCTGCAAACTTGTTAGTTTCTAACCTTCATAAAACTGGGTTTTTGTATTGGATCTCTAATTACATATTTTATGACTAAGCTTAGGTCATGTGCGATTTGTAAATTCCTTGTGGCTGTCAAGTCTCTAGTTTATTTATATCTTCAGTTGCAACCTACAAAATCTCTGGAAGGTAGATGCATATCCGAAAGGTTCTTGAATCATCTACATGCATTTCTCGACCGCAGGATTTTATTTCACTTTGTGTTTTCATATTGTCATTTTCAGCTTTAATAATTATGGCAGGTGGATGCATATCCAGGTAACTCCTGATTTATTACTCTTTTTCTCCATGACTTTCCATGGTGCCTATCATATCGTGATCACCACACTGAATAAAAATAGATAGTAAGCTTGTAATCAGGTAGGAGTAGGTAAACAGTATCACCTAATTGAAATGAATTCTCGCAAGCATTTTTTATCTTTGCACAAAGAGGATTTTAGTTGGGAAATAGAATCTCCCAAGAGGGTTTTGACCCCTCTTGTATGCATATGCAGGATCATCCTTTCAAGTTAGAGATAAACTTCAAAAAATGACTTCCATTGGTCGAAGAGGAGATGCAATTTCCAATCCATTGTCATAGAATATGTTTTCACAGAGCATCAAGAGTCGTCGAGTCTAAAATGTCGATGCATGCATACCATGCTATAGTTACCGTTCAGCCAAGAAAAACTTCCTCTACAATGGTTTGTGAGATAACTAAGTACGTAGGAAAAAAAAGGGGAAAATGTGATTCCTCACAATGAAAAATGAAGCAGCCAGTCAACAATACAACAGAAAATCGGCAGCTTGACGTTACCTCCTTATCTTCACTTTCCTAAACTCGCGACTTGTTTGCGAAACTAGCCTTTGTTTCTAAAAGCACTTTGTTTAACATAGTTGATAGTCACCAGATAATTGAAGATGCTAATTGCGGCACTTTATCAGAAATGACCATTGTTTGGCTTTTGGCATTTGCTCCGGCCTTGCAGTCAAATAATATAATCTTTCGAGGCAACCAGAATTTTGCAGAACACAAAATTGCCTTTTTCTCCATTAGACTCAACAGTAAATCACCTAATTCCTGGGGTACTCATATACAAGGCCTTCTGCAACACTTCTTGCCCTTGCATTACCAAAAAACTTGCTGACGATAGCTAAGGCAAAATCCGTTACAGTGGCAAGTCCCCCGCTTGTGATCACTTTACCGTCAACTACTACTTTGGTGCCATTTACTACTTCATTGGTCAGCTTGCTTATGACAGAGGGATGAGCTGTCACTCTTTTCTCCTGAATTTGGCAGAGAAAGTATGAATGTGAGCATAAGGATAGTTTGGACATAGTAAGATGTCAGATAATTTTTTCCTCTTACCTTCAGTAAACCGTGTTTATGAAGGACTAATGGTGAAGAACAAACTGCTCCATATATTCTTCCAGCCGCTTCTTGTTCTTTTAGCAGCTTCTTCAAAATCCTAGATTTCTGTAGCCTTTCAGCCCCAGTGATTCCTCCCTGAAAGATTGAAATGAACCAAAACACATCAAAAAGTAGGATGGAACAAGAAAAACGAATTTTGGAAATATCCTAATACAATAAAGAAAAAGAAACCGCAAGGTTACTTGTACTATCAATTTGTTTATCTCACCGGAAGTATGATTAAATCATATACTGACAGAGAAGCATCCCTAATTAACTTTTCAGCAATGATTTTTGTGCCTTGAGATGCCACAACTTGCACAGATTTTTCAACGGATGCAACCACGACATCTACTTTTGCTCGGCGCAAAACATCCACAATGGTCACTACTTCAATCTCTTCAGAACCATTTGCAATTGGAATAAGAACCTGTATGACATTTGAATGGTAAAAAATCATTTAAAAGTAAAAAATCCATTCAAACTCAAGACCTCTTGTACAAACCCCAAAAGATCCAAACTGCAGAAATATATACTTCACAAAATTTTACAAACATAGATATGCATGACAGAACTGATGGATGCTGTGTACGGGGCTAATATCATACTAAACGAATAAAGAACCATAGTTAAAAGATATTCATGAGCAGCAAGTGAAGCACTTACTCGAGGCATGTGATCAAAAGACCATTCAACTTTATTGAATTCTTCCTTTATAAGAGATTCATGAGCAGAATGCATCAGCTGGAAGAACAGAAACAAAGGACTGTCAGCACAAATTTAGTAGCTATAAAACATCAGATAGAAGGAGCATAATTAAGGAAAATAGCGAGGTAGAAAAATTGAAAGAAAGAAGAAAGTCATCAGGAAAGAGAACACACAATTACTTCCTGGGTAATTAATATATGAGCGCCAAGTACTACTATTTATTTATTTATTTTTCCTTTTTCTAATGCCGCATGACTAAGCAATAGGGGATCAATGTTTTTCAACAGTAGAGACCTTACCAGTGATTCTCCAACCTCCTTGGCAACAGACTCCCCAAACAGCTGTTCCACTAAGCACAAAGCAAACTCGAACGAAGTTCCAGGACCACGACTGGTTGTAAGCTCTCCTGAAACTTGGATATTTGACTTGACAGCCCAGAAATTAGGAAGCTTGTCTACGAATGCAGGGTGGCAAGTTATCTTGCATGACGAACTACATCATGTTTGGTCATAAAAAAAACATAAAAATTTCAAAATTCAATTCAATTCAATAAAAACAGTAGTCAACCTGCTTTTTTCTCCCAAGGCCCCATGGAAGAAGAGTGACTGCTGGGGCAGCACATATAGCTCCATAAAGCCTCTTTTCCTCAGCTTGTTTGCTCATAATTTTCTTGAGAATATCACTTTCTCTTAATCGTACTGCACCAGGCATTCCACCCTTAAAACAATCCAAATAACATGAATCATGGTAAATTACATTTTCAAAAGAACTTATAAGAAGAAGTAAGACCAAATATCAGAAGAAAAAGAGGGGAAAAAAAGAAAGAAAGAAAGAAAACTATCAGCATCTTTTTGTTCCTTTTATCAACTTTCTCCATCATGCTTTTATTCAATCATGTTTTAGTGCTCCTATTACCTGAATCCTTAACTTTGTCCACAAAATAAACTCCTCTTACTCTTCTAGTTACATTTGATTCAAGAATTAAGAAGTCAATATTTCTTGAACATTAATATAAACACATCTCACGAAATGCAATCCCGAGAAAACTATGAAGATTGAATTCAATTGCAACAAGAGAATTGGTCATTTACTTTTACTACCAATCACAAGTTTTGTGTTGTATGCAGTACTCCTACTGGAAATTATGATCAAGAATTACTCTATCAACCACCATCTACATCAAAAATCCCTTTGGAAACCTTTTACAAATACAAAAGTTCAGTAACTTCCCTCGAATTCGTTAATTAGGCAAGATTCTCTTGTACACAATAAGAAAGATCGAATTCATTTTCATAAATTAAAAATTTCATTGTAAATGTGAAATACGTATAGAAATCAAAATGAGGGAGAAATAAAAAAGATGCAAGGTCGTTTGTCTGCTTGGCAAGTCAAACATGGGCTAGTTCATAGATCTTTGGGCTTCGATTACCAAGGAATAGAAACTTTAAAAATAAAGCCCCAAGGAGTGAGTCAGTAACAATGTTATGCACACACATAAAAACAGTTTGCTGGATCACTATGTAAAATGAAAATTATTATGTTTTGTTTCGATCATGTCCTTCTCCAGAGCACATTTTATCTTCATTATGTAACAGCAGCAAAATTTTCATATTCCAAAAGAATTCTCATGCAAGTCAGTAAATTTGATCAAACAATCTAGATATATCACTATGTTATGCGTATACAAACACACTTACAGTTCCTAATCACAAAGTATTAGTTAATCAGTAAAGCAAAAATAGTGTGTTGCTAATCACAAAGTATTAGTTAATCAATAAAGCAAAAATGTAATTCTCTCGGGGAAAGAACTAACTGGCAATGCAATAAGATCAAAAACTTGGCCACCACAAGTGGAGATAGAGGTATCAGCCACCAGTCGGGTGCCACCAGAAGCCTCAATCTCCAGCTGCGGCTCCACTGAGGCCATAGTCACTTCTGCACCGGCTCGGCGCAATACATCAACTGTAATCACAGCTTCCATTTCTTCAGTACCAAGCCCAATTGGAACCAAAACCTGAACAGAAACCCACAAACAACAAAATTGTCAAGCAAATAAAAATATACCAAAAGACTTCCATCATATAAGCTCCATTTGGTTGCAGAGAAAAAACCATAAGAATTTCATGTAAGAAACAAAAAACCAAGATAGAAACTTTAAGTACAAGACACTTAACTAATTTAAATCCAGAAAGCAAAAGGAACTAAAATTATTTGAACTTCAGTCAAAACATGAAATAGAGATTCTTAAAAATCTAGAACTTGCAAAATTTTATTCTGAATTCATTTATTTGCATTACAATTTCAAGAACTAAGAAAGAAATCAAATGAACACTCAATTAAGAATTCTTTCGCCCAAAATTTTAACTTCGCTTCATTTCAATTTTATCTTCTTCATTATCCAAAAAAAGGGTTTAGGGTTTAAGGAAAAATGAGAGATGGGCAGTGTTAAAAAAGAAAAAGAAACCTTCTTGGTAGGGACAGAGGTGTCTGTGCTTGAGGTAGTATTTGTTTTTGCTGTATTTGTAGTTGTGGGTGTTGTGAAAGAGAGGTTTTTGGGAGGTTTTGAAGAGGTTTTACTTCCTTGTTGTGGAGAAGCAGCAGCAGCAAAGCATGAAAATGATGGAGAGGGGAGAGTGAGCATTGGAGACGGCTTCGAAGGAGTGATTTTGAGAGCAAAAGTTGGTGAAAGTGAAGATGATAGCCACTCCATTAACGAAATCAGATTAATATTTTCAGTTAAACAGTTCCAAAGCAATTCATGAATTTCCACTGTACCTTATCCAGGTATGGACTCAAAGCAAGATTTTAAGGAGTTTGAAAATGTAACCACTTTTATATAAAATAACCACAAAATGAATTGAAATCTTTACTAGTGGATAGCACTTTACATTCAAGTATGATTATTTATTTTTCTAACTTAGATACTTTCCTAGGTCGGTCCGATTGAATCTTATGTTTCACTACCATCGGTTTGTTCAAAGTCATGTCCGATGCATAGGTGGTGGTTGTTCTTTTATCTCTTGAGCTCTAGTCCCCTCAGACATTAATATGGGTGACCACTAGATGATTATCTAGTCGAACTTTCATGGTCTTAGGGGATTAGTTGAGATGCACGCAAACTGATTTGAACAACTGTAGTGATAAAAAAAAAAAAAAAAAGTATATCATTGGTTTGGTTATACTGAATGAATTTATCCCTTAATTGATGATTCACCTCATGATCATTTAGGGATCAATCGTCCTCCAATTTGATAGCACATTTCATTAATTTTTTTTTTTTTTTTTTTTTAACAAGGGGTGTCTAGACTAGCTTTTACGTATCTCGACTAATCTTTCGGGGCCTTAAAGCTAACGACTGGATAAACTCTCCAGTAGCCACTACCCCTTTAAGCAATTAAGGAGAACTGAACTTAATACCTTTTGAAAAATACACCTGAAAGGTCCTATCGTCTCAATCAATCACTCAGAGGTAGTTACATTTCATTATTATTGGTTTCACTCTTTGTTGAATTGGGGTCACACCCAATACATTGGTTTAATTCACCTTTAATTGATGGTTCATCCATTGATTATTGGTTTAGAGATTGGTTGAATTCAACTAAACCTTTAAGGTTTGCCTGGGGTTTTTTTTTTTCTACTGGTTTTAAGGGGTTTTTAATTAGACTACTTTTGAGGTGTTATAAAACCATTATTTGCCAGATATTTTATGCACTGGTTTTGATTGGCTCAAAAACCTCTCAGAACTAGTATAATGTATTTTTGAGGGGTTTATAAAACATCCTAAATCAGGGTATTTTGGTTAGTTTTAAAATTTTATTCCACAAATACCCTATCCACCACAAAACTATCTCAATTATATATATAAAAAAAAATTAACCATATTATTCGCATCTTCAATCATATTAAATATAAAATAATTTTAAGCAATCATAAAAAAAAAAAATATTAAAATCTCATTTCTATATGTCTTCTTGGAGAAGTGAAGTTACAATTTTTCAATAATTCCAAATGCTGTAAAGAATGGTGAAGTACTAAAAAATAAACTCCCAAGTACCGGTTGAAATTGGGATATTTTTATGGGCATATATATATTTATCATTTAAAAAAACTGTCAGAACCACTGAAAAATAAACTCTTAAGCATAGGTTGGGTGTTTTAAAAACCATTACTAAAAACCCCTCAAAACCGCTACGGTGGTTTACCTTCATAACCACTACCATGAAACTCCCAAGCGGACCCTTAGTCGGGGTAAATCAACTCTTGAGGCCTTGATCGGTTTAAGGGCACACTTAACAGTAGTCTGACAGTTACTATTTACAAATCTAACCTGATAATGCTATTTACTTAAACAATAATGCTACGGACATCGAAGACCTGCACTGAAATTTTGCACCGAATGACGTGTCAGCTAAGTAGACGTAATCACGTAGCATATTAACAAATATTTTGCGAATGAACAGCCGTCCATCAAATATGGATAGTCGTCCGTGATTATTGGATGACCGTTCATTTTAAATATGCTCTCGTCCATGAGAAAATAACAATGGACTCCCGTCCATATTATATGGACAAAAGCCCATTTACTATGGACGGGCGTCCACCTATAATGGACGCTCGTCCATTGTTTAAAATAAAAAAAAAATTTAAACAAAAATCATGGACGCTCGTCCATAATATATGGACAGATGTCCCAATTTGTTTAAATTAAAAATTTTAACACACAAAAATCATGGAATGCATGAACATAATGCAATGAAAAGTCTCAACAAAATTGTAATAACAATAAAGTATATTGGGTGGATCTTGGTTTCATCAAAGGATTGGAAGAATTTCCAAACTATATGCTTTTGATTATAACTGAACAAGATGTGATGTGGATAAAATAAAGCTTTGCTCTCTGTACACATGTATTGACTAGTTAATATTTCATGCCATAAAATAATCCAAATGCTGTATACAAAGGTTTTTTTTTTTTTTTTTTTTGGAATGGTAAGAATTTTATAAAAGAGACAAAAAATGTATAAAAACGAGGGGTATACCCCAAGAGAAAGACTGATAAAACTCAGTCAGGAAAATATATGGAAGAAAACCACAAAACCACAAATTAGCATAAAAGAGCACGCATGCTCCCCACAAAACAAATCAGGAAGATGTCATAAACCACAAAACCACAAACCGACATAAAGAGCATGCAGGCTCCCCACAAAGTTAATCAGGAAGATGCCAAATCGCGAGCTAGGCTCAGATCTCATTCTTGGGTGCTAAACCCAATATCTTGGCCTGGACTAAATCACAAATAGTTAAGACCGTATCTCTGCGAGAGCTACAGTGCTGACGAAACACACGGTTATTCCGTTCAAGCCATAGAAAATAAACTGTAGCTGAAAGGACTAATCGGGAAAGAAGGTGTCTGAAGTCCCCTTTACGTCTAAGATGCAAGCTAGTCCATTGGAGCAAAGGGAGCCAAGAGAGAGTAGGCCATATAGAGAGTGTCCTGGTAGTGACCTCCCGCCAGACACAACTAGAGAAGTCACAGCTGAAAAACAAATGGTCATGAGTCTCTGTAGCCAACCTGCACAAAACACATAGGGAGGATGTAATGACACCATGAGAGCTAAGCCGATCCATGGTGCGAAGCCGACCGAGTGAAGCAAGCCACATAATGAAAGAGTGGCGTGGAATATGCCTTGGAAACCATAAGAGATGATGAATCGAGTTCACAACTCGTTTGTCCCGCAATACATTCCAGGCTGAATCAATAGAGAATCGTCCAGACGAGTGACCTTTCCACACAAGATGATTAGGATGACCCATTGAAGGTTGCACTGTAATATAGTCCCAGATATGCTGAAGATCTGCACTACTCGAAGGAAAATCCCACGAACCATCTCGAATAATATCCGAAACCCGAGCATTCCATGGCGAACTAGTAGAAATCAAAATCCTAAGAGGGAGCAAGTCACACAAAGGTCCCTGCGGTAGCCAATGATCCCGCCATAACAAGCTGTTCACAATGTTCATCAAAGGAAAGATTCAAGGCATTGCAAAATCAAGATTTTGGTTTTAAAAATGTTTTAATTTAAATTATGGACGGACGTCCATTCTAGCCAGTGGACACCCATCCCTTGAGTAGGGATGACGATCTACAATATATGAACGAGATGTTCATGATTTTTGTTTTCAAATTATTTTAATTTAAAATATGGACGGACGTCTATTCTAGGTGGATGCCCGTCCATAGTAAATAGACTCTTGTCTATATAATATGGACAAGAGTCCCTTGTTATTTTCTCATGGACAAGAGTCCATTTAAAATGAACGACCGTCCAATAATCACAGATGATCATCTATATTTGATGAACGCTGTTTATTCATAAAATATTTATTAATATGTTATATAGTTGCGTCTACTCAGTTGACATGTCATTCAGTGTAAAATTTCGTGGAGGTTTTCCTTGTTCGTAACATTATTGTTACTTAAAACTTATAACCTCAAAATCCAATATATTTTTATTAATATCAACGACATTTTTATTGTAAATAATATAAAAAACAATAATAATTATAATATAAAATCTCGATGAACAGTAATACATAAAATAATCCATTCCAACTCAGCTATCATGATGCAAGTTTATCATCTTTCTGACTCTGTCTATCGGTCTATCCAGCCAATCTGCAGAGCAAGAATATATTTTCTTTAATTAATAAAATAAACCCATATATAAAAATTACACAGTAGCAACTAAACGGAACCAAACAATAGAACAATGCTGAGGGCGTTAGCCAGGAGGACATCAGCTTCCGTTTTGAACTCAAACTCATTTGAGCTTCTTCAGAGACGGCAATTGTGTTGTCTAAATGTCCTTCCCGATGGCCTGGACAGAAATTCTGAAGCTTTTGTCTCAAACTCCAAGGTTATGGAAGGACTGGTCACCCAACTCCACTCCCATATCGAAAAGGTATGTTTTTGTAAAGTTTATATTATTGCATGGTTTGTGGATTTGGTTTTGATCGTGGGATTTTGTTGGTTAAGGTTCTTGAAGGAGGAGGAGTTGAGGCTGTTAAGAGGAATATGAGCAGGAACAAGCTCTTGCCTAGACAAAGAATTGATCGCCTTATTGACCCTGGCTCTTCTTTTCTTGAGCTTTCCCAGGTTTACTTTTCTTTTGGGCATTTTGTTTTTGGTTTTATTGGATATTTTTTATTCATTTCTATGGGATAGTTGTTATAGTTATGGAGCACATGCATTTGTAGAATAAATTTTATGTGTTGTTTATATTTATGTTTATGTGTAATTTTTGTGCAAAGCAAATACAGGAATTATAGAAGCTTATGTGTTTCATTTTTATGCTAAGCAATACATTTTAAAATTAGAATTGTTTGATTAATTAAACTTGTGGAGTTGGAAGTTTGTCAGTTCACTCATTGACAGAAAATTTGAGTTAAGTAACATATATTGGGATTTTATTTGTCTCTTATTATATATTTTTATGAGTGAAGCTTGCTGCACATGAATTATATGGAGATCCATTACCGTCTGGTGGAATAATCACCGGAATAGGTCCTGTTCATGGACGACTTTGCATGTTCGTCGCCAATGACCCTACTGTTAAGGGAGGAACCTATTATCCCATCACGGTTAAGAAGCATCTTAGGGCGCAAGAGATTGCCGCACAATGCAAATTACCATGTATATATCTTGTGGATAGTGGAGGTGCTTTCCTTCCCAAGCAGGCTGAAGTCTTCCCTGACAGGGATAATTTTGGGAGAATTTTTTATAATCAAGCCACAATGTCTGCTGAAGGCATCCCTCAAATTGCTCTGGTATTAGGCTCTTGCACTGCTGGGGGTGCTTATATTCCTGCGATGGCTGATGAAAGTGTAATGGTTAAAGGAAATGGTACCATATTTTTAGCTGGACCCCCACTTGTAAAGGTTAGTTCCGGACCTTATGGTGTCCAACTTGATATTTGCAGTAATTCCTTAAACCATTTCATGATTAGTTTGTAGTTTTTTATAACTTTTATGAGTATCATATACATATCTGTCTATATGTGTGCTTGTGTGCATTCAAGTAAATTGACATGCATGCATGTATGTACTTATGTGTTTATGTATGCACCTATGTTTCTAAAACATAGATTGTATCTAAAGGAGAAGTTTCAGTAGGCTGCTACAGGAGAAGAAGTCTCTGCAGAGGATTTGGGCGGTGCTGCTGTTCACTGTAAAACATCAGGGGTTTCCGATTATTTTGCTCAAGGTATCTACTTTGTTTATCTAGTGCTTTTCACCTATTTTGCATGTACCACATTTGAAGTTAGTGTGATCATTGTAATACTTGTCCCATTAATGTTTTCGTGTGTGATTTTATCTGTTCTTTAAGATGAACTACATGGACTTTCTCTTGGGAGGAATATCGTCAAGAACTTGCACATGGCTGGGACACCGGGAATGATTAACGGATTCCAAAGCATTAATACTGATTTTAAAGAACCATTGTATGATGTAAAGGAGCTTCGCTCCATAGCACCAGCAGACCTCAAGCAGTCCTTTGATATCAGATCAATTATTGCTCGCATTGTTGATGGAAGTGAATTTGATGAATTCAAGAAACTGTATGGCACTGTGAGGACATCTGAAGCACTTGAATCTTTTTAGTTGTGTTACATCATACTGTCTATGAATTTGTAACTCCACTTGCTTTTGTGCAGACCCTTGTGACAGGATTTGCTAGAATCTTTGGACAACCTGTGGGAATTATTGGAAACAATGGGATATTATTTAATGAGTCTGCTTTAAAAGGGGCTCATTTCATTGAACTTTGCACTCAACGTAAAATTCCTTTGGTCTTTCTTCAGAATATTACTGGATTTATGGTATGTAATTCTTATTTCTGTTTCCATCACTCTACTGACAAAGCCTTGTGGACATTCTCATGTCCTTGCCTTTCTCAGGAGAGTTGCACATCAAACCACTTTTCTTAGAAAGCTATAGTTTGATTATTCAGGTCTATAATGTCTATAGAATTGGAACCTCAATGGTGATTTATCTCGTAGGTCGGCTCAAGATCTGAGGCAAATGGTATTGCAAAGTCTGGAGCAAAAATGGTGATGGCAGTTTCATGTGCAAAGGTTGGCAATGGGAGTTGATGCAACTCATTTACTCTTTTATTATTAACTATGAGTCACTGATTAAATAAAAGGAGGGTCTGAATGGAAAAAGATAAGAACCTTTGCACCTTCCTAATCATTTCAGGTACCAAAAGTTACTATAATAGTTGGTGGAAGTTTCGGTGCTGGAAATTATGCAATGTGTGGCCGTGCATATAGTCCCACTTTTATGTTTCTTTGGCCAAATGCCAGAATATCTGTGATGGGTGGTGCTCAGGTAGCCTCTCTAACCATTACTTATGCATAATTGCTGTATCAAAGAGTTATCATGACTTAGCTCCGAAATGAGTGAGCAGAAGTAGATTAGAATTTTATTATTAACCTTTTTCTTTTGCTTTACCATCATAATTTGGATCTGCCTATAATTTTGCTGTGTGTGTGCCTTGTTCTTAGGAGAGTAGTATAGAACAGAATTAAGCGCATCCTATACTATGTTGTCTACCCAACCTCAATATGACATAATGATCCTGTTTTAAGAATCAGAATCTCTTGAATTAAAAGTCTTTTAGGTATTGGGCTTACAGGTCATTAATCTTTTAGGTTATTTCTGCATTTTGCAAATAATATGCAGTGCTTAAGTAGTGGATGAAGTTCATTAGTTTTTTCGGTACCTTTATAAGTTAGTATACTTTTTCTGAATCATCATTGATAAATGTTTCTCTCTGTTCCTTTCTTCTTTCTTGTGAAAACTTTGCTATAGTTTCTTTGACCGATGGACTTTCCTATTTGCCTTTTCATATTATTTTGCCTTGATCCATTACTTTAAATTTGTTTGACTCCTGAATCATTCGAATTCTTTTTATTGAGTGTGGATTGATTTGCTGTCCTTGGCAATATTCAGGCTGCTGGTGTGCTCGCCCAAATAGAAAAGGCCAACAAGAAAAAACAAGGAGTTCAGGTAAACCTATTTATCTGGAAATGGATTTATATCTTATTTTGATTGTGCTACCAAAGAATGGTACTTATATGTGCCCACACATGAGCTTGTATCTCAGTGGACAGCAGAAGATGAGGAGAAGTTCAAGGCGAAGGTCGTAGAGGCTTATGAGAGAGAAGGAAATGCTTATTACTCAACAGCAAGACTCTGGGATGATGGAATCATTGATCCAGCTGACACCAGAAAAGTAATAGGTTTCTGCATTTCTGCTTCTATGAACCGCCCCACAGAAGATACCAAATATGGTGTATTTAGAATGTAACTTCAGGGAATTCCATAAATTTCTATACACAGCGGCCAAATGCTCGCTTTCAATAATCCCAAATATGTTTTTCGTGAAATGTCTCAGATACATTTCTGTGAATTCTTGCTGAAATTACCAGCTTAATCTCATTGAAGCTGTCAATCTTCAGTAGCTAATTCATCTAGTTCCCATCACCTACATTTTTTTTCTCAAAATTTGCTTTAGCTTTGTACCATTTCCGGGGTGAAGTTGAGCCTGTTTTGGGGTAATACTTAACCAAGGATGTGTTTGGTGGCTTAAGAATCCAAGGAGAATTGAACTGGAAATCATCCTCTTGTGGAATATCAAGTTGCTTGTGTGTTGAGTACACACTGATTATAGCAAAGCGACATCAGTTGGAGTCCGTGTAGCATTCAACAATGCATCAACGGGAATTTTACAAGTTATCTTCCGATTATTATTCTTCAACCCCTTGAGAGATAGCGAAACATAAAACTTTCCCATGGTTTTTGAAAATTATTATATACCAATGTTCTGAAAACCAGATTGGGCCTTGACCCGGTTCACGGTTTGACTGGCTAAACTGTTGGTAAAAAAGTTTTAAATTCTAATAGACACACCCCTAAAACTTTTCAGTCCCTACAGGTTTAAAATATAGCAAATACACACTTGTGATCTGTTTTGATTTTGACATTTCCGACCAAATTTTGACTGATTCCGGCAACTAAAATTCAATCTGACACTACCACCTGAACCATCATCCTCCACTCTACAAAACCCCTCTAACCCTAGAACTTGGTAGCTCTCCATTTGCCGGCCGTGAGTCGCAAACACTGTCGCAATTAGGTTGATTTTTCTAACTAGAATCTGACTAATTCCGGACTCCAAAATTCAATCAAACACCACCACCTAAACCACCAGCCTTCACTCTACAAAACCCTTCTAACCCCGACACTTGATAGCCCCTCGTTCATTGGCTGTGATTCCCATATTGGGTTGAACTTTTTGGCTTATTTCGGTGCGAAAATTCAATCCAACACTACCCCTTGAACCATTGACCTCCACTCTACAAACCCCCTCTAACTTCAGCACTTGGTAGCATCTCGTTTGCTGGCGATCAAATTAGGGTTTGGAGGAACAGTGAAATTGAAATCTTGGATTGAAAAGAGGCCAGTCCACAGTTGGACCGACTGATCCAGTTCGGTTTTCATAATATTGTTATATACAACCTTTGATACTTTTTCAGTAGGATATATGATAACCTCAAATGATAAATTTATGGGGATAAATGATAATAAAGTGTTTGTTCATATTTCGCCATCTCTCAAAGGGTTGAATGAAAATAAGTAATAACATGTCATCCTCTATATCAACCTTTAAATATATAACTTTAACAAACGGTTCATCAGGGAGCGCCCGTGGCCTAATGGATAAGGCGTCTGACTTCTAATCAGACGATTGTGGGTTCGAGTCCCACCGGGCGTGATCTTTCTTTATATTTTTATTTAACTTATCAGGTGGGTCCCCTCCTTTAATTTTTACATCAAAGCCAAACCAAACTCCGGAGGGAGCCCCACATCCGTCTGATTTGTCATCATCTGAACCTGATCAGATCAGACTACAAATAATAAATAAAAAAAGGTGCTGGTTCTGTTCTCATTATTGCCATTCTCACATTTGATTTTGTTTTTGTTTTTGTTTGTTGCTGCAGACTCACTGATGCACTCAACCTAACCGATACTGACTCGTCTCATCTCATCAGTCATTCCTTTCCTTCATCTTCCACTTGCTCAACAACCCATTTGAACAACAACAAAACGAAACTCTTACTTCACTCAAAAACAAAACTTTTCGTACTTTGCTAATGGCTTCTGCTACTTCTTGTTTCTCTTCTGCCCATTTGGCTACTCCACGTGTCCCTTCGTTTCCTTCTCGTAATCTCACCCCCAGCGCCAACACCATCTCCTTTCCCTTCCGTTTGCTCCCCAAAACGGCAACTCTCAATACCCGTAACGCGCCTCTTTCACTTAAGATACTGTGTATCCGTGAATCTAAAGGTAACCATTTCTATCTCTCTCAAATTTGATCGTTTTTTAGGATTCTGTTGTTTGATTTGAGTTTGTTTAATGCTTAATGTAGTGGGTATTTGTTGGATTTTGTTGTTGTTGTTTTGAGATTTTATTATTTCGATTTATCTGAACTTTGTTTGGTTGGCGAGAAAACTCAGGCAAAAAAGCAACGAAAAATTAAATTTTGTGTTGAACCTATTGTCCTTTTTCTGTTGTGTTGTCGTAAGATTAGGAAAAATCAAAACTTTCATTAACTAGGCTACGGCAAAAGACTTTGGTTTGGATTTGGGGGACGAAATGTGAATTTGGGTTTTATGTTGAAATCTTATGGCAATGTAATGAAGTGTACAGGGGAAATATAGACTGATTAAAGGTCTTTAGTGCAATTTAAATATATAAAAAAAATTACATGAAGGGTGGGGCAAAAGACAAAAATGGATCAGTCATGTGGCGTGCAGGCTAAGGCTAGGATTCGTTGCTTTAAAACAAAACAAAAACTGAAGCTAAGTAACTAAGCAATTGACTTGTTTCTCTTCCTTTAAGCTTTGGAAAATGAGGTTCTGGAGAAGCCACCTTGTTAGGTGACAGAACCCCATTCGAGTGGAGAGGGTTGCATCCTATACTTGTTTTTATGTTTAATTCATTATATTAACGGTAGAAGAAAGTTGTGAAAGGATGATGCTTTGGGAGGATTTTACATTTTGTGGCAAATTGTATTTTTGTGCAACTGAAATATTAAGTGTTTTTGACTATTAATGTTCCGATGACAATATGGTGAAGTGCATTTCTGTTCTAAAAGATACCTGGATTTAGGAGAGGTCCTCAAACAAGGATTTTAATGATCACATTTCAGTATCTCTTTAATCCACCTTTTTTGGTCAAGTGAGTGTGGTACCTTCTAATTGCTTACTTTCATTGTATTCTTTTGTTTATTTTTGTTGGTTGGGAGTCATAAATGATAGCCAAGATTGTTGATTGTGCACATTTTATTAGATGACTTTTTTTTTTTTCTTCTCTTTTCTCCTTTTTATGTTATTCTATCCTTGTTGACTTTGATTGGTTGCTGGACATATAACGAAAAGATAATCCTTCTATATAACCAGAGCATTTTCATAGTGATTGGCTTGTTGTACAAAAGTTTGGGATTATTGAAGTTATTCCTTCATGTCAGTTAGACCAGTACATGGAAACATAACTTTTATTCAAATTTCAAAGATAATATCTGGAATAAAAATAATGGATGACTGAACCTTATCTAGATATACATAAGGACTGTTCTGTTGGAAATGGCCTTTCAGCATAAATATATAGTTGAAAGTGATCTCTGTAGCTGCAGACAGATCTTTGTTATGATGAGTTCTATTGTCTAATGAACATTCTGTTTTTAAAAATGTATTGAATTCTGTTGGCCTAATTGCTTTTAATGGCTAGTTAAATTCTCTCATAAAAAGATGTAGTTGTATCTATATATACAACTTTTGTATATGTGGGAAGATCATTGAATGCAAGTAATGCATTTCAAATTGGAAGTTTGGAGTGTCTTTCTTGATTGAAGTTGCATTCCTTGTTTTGGAATGCAAGTGTTGTGATTTCTGCTGTCTCCCTCTTCAACACTTCTTTATATTAGTTGCAATGGTTTACTCTCTGCATTTAGACCGTTCTGTTCATTGACAGTAAATGATATAGAGAGGATGCATGTAGCTGATAACAAAATCCATTATTAATTAAAAAAAAAAAAAAGGATCAAGTTAAAATAGTAAAACATTAATAAGTTGGGATCAATGTAATTTGGATATTTTAGTAATATTATGAAGTACCATTTTTTTTTTTTTTTTTTTTTAAAAAAAAAGTCTCATATTTAAGAATTTTATATATAAACTGCTTCTTAGCTTGTAACATGCTGACTTATTGTTCTCAGTAGCTTATGTAAGGTATGGGGTATTTATTTGATATTGGATGCAATCTTGATAATAATATGTTGGTTGAGCAGCTGCAGTGGTTACTAAAGACTCATGGGAGAGGTCGATTCTGAACAGTGACACACCCGTTCTAGTTGAATTTTATGCAAGTTGGTGTGGCCCATGCCGGATGGTCCATCGGGTAATTGACGAGATTGCTGGAGAGTATGCTGGGAAACTTAAATTCTATATGCTCAACACAGACACTGACTTGCAAATTGCTGAGGACTATGAAATCAAGGCTGTACCTGTTGTATTGCTGTTTAAGAATGGAGTAAAACGCGAAACTGTGGTCGGAACCATGCCTAAGGATTTCTATATTTCTGCTATTGAGAGGGTTCTGGAGCCATAAACTTGACTTTGCACTTGACTAGAACATCAAGTAAAGTCAGATTTTTTCGTCATATGATACCCTATTGTTGAAATTTTGGTTGGTCTCTCAGTCTATTAGATGTACATCCCTTAGATAATTACTCTCTTGCTGTTACCATGAGAGGTAATGGACTGTTAGTGGATTTATCTTTTGTCTTCCTTTTTGTTATGACTATATTTTGTAAATGTTACCTTATTGTTCATGCCTACTATGCTTATCCAATTCCTATTCAATAACTTTCAGCAAAGGCAATGTTTGATAAAGCTCTTTCCTGGACTTTTTCACAAATGGATGTGTTTGATTTTTCGCTTAAATTTTTATCCAATTTCTGAACGGTCCATTAACTTGTAAAAAGTCAAACCAGTCCCCTAATTTCTCTGCCCTTTCCTTTTTCCCAAAATCATAATATTCTGGTTTTTGGTTCGTCGGTTATCTTGACCAAAATGCTCTTCTCATTGTACCAAATTTTGGCTAAAAAAATAAAGCAAATATGACTAAATAAAAAAGAGTAAAAGACTTTTTTGCACCCAAGGTTTGCCTTAATGACACTTATCCACCAAAAAAGTTTAAAAATATCATTTTTTGACCCAAAGTTTGTATTATGATAATATTAAAAATACATTTCACTTTCTCAGTCAGCATTCGACGAGTTACTAAGAGTCGGGGTAAGACGGGTTTTATAGAGTGGAGGCTGATGGATCAAATGGTGATGACCGATTGATTATTCGTCGTCGGAATCAGTTGAAAATCAGTTAAGAATAATAAACCCTATATTTGCGATGACCGGCAATCGATAAGAAATCAGGTGTTGAAGTGGAAGGTTTTGTAGAGAAGAGACCGAAAGCTCAAATGGAGATGACAAAGAGAATTTTTGCCATCGGAATCATCTTTGGGAAATGAAATATTAACTTTGGGTGGGAAAGTAGTATTTTGAAAGCTTTTGGTGGGAAAAATAATTAAGGCAAATCTTGGGTGGGAAAAAGTCGTTTACTCAATATAAAAACTATGAAATGGGTAGTTCAGGAAGCAGGAGGACTGACATCAGGTATAGAAGCATTAAACAAATTTACAAGACTCCACCTGCAGGGGCGGTGGGAAGGCATTTAATTTAACAATTAATCATTTTAATGGCATTTTTCACATTTAGGTTTGAAGATGCAAAACTGGACTTTTGACCTCCACCTAATTATCAAACCCTGTTCCTTCTAATCCTCTATAAGAATTCAGATATATTTTGATATTTTAATTGCAGAACTGAAATCATACCGTCCATCAATCCTTTTTGGGCTGTGATCAATATCACCCCCAAAAACTCAAAGCCCAATTCTAGACAACTACATAAGGTTACTGAAAAAGGCAAAGAGTAAAAAACATTTTTCCAGTTAGCTTTAAAACTTAGCTTTTCTCAGAATAACTTCAAAAACCCATCACCCAACAGCCCCGTCATCTTCCTTTATCAACAGGTTTCTTCTTTCTTCCTCTCTACAACAAAAGATATTTTCTTTTTGGTTTCCGGGTTTCAAGTTTGGATCTTTAATTGATAAATATTGGATCGTTTGATTCTTTGTTGTTTTCAGGATCTGGGTATCTGGTTTTGGGTTGGGAAGAACTTAATTTAAAGAGACGCACTGTTTTCAATATGAGGTATGTTCTAGTAATAATTTTTGTTTTCTTTATTTTATTTGGATGGTATTTCTTTCTTTTTTATATTTTCTTGTTGTTTGGGTTTATTTGATTGCTAGAAAACGCAGAAATAGTAATGAAAATTAGGCTCCTTCTTTTTTATCTTTAGTCGATTGAAGTATCGTGTTCAGTGATTATACTTTTTTGAATTTAGTGTGTAGAATCAAAGAAGTAAAGCTTGTTTAAATCCTGCTCAGAAAATTTTTAGTCGTTGATGTTTTATATTGAGAGCCTATGAATTTCAGTTTGAGAATTGCTACTTCATTAACTAGTGTAAATTTGCTGTTTTAAGTAGTGGATGCTGGTGTTCTCTTATATAAATATCTGTGTGTAATAATCAGTGAAATACAATATTGTACAAACATTTTGCTTTATGGATTTCTTTTTTCCTCTCTTTTGTGAGTCTTTAATTGTTATCTGCCCTGTGTGGTTCAGAAACCTTGTGTGACACTATGTTTTTCGCCGTGTGGCCTTAACCACCATTTCTGCTTTTTCCCAATTGTTGTAGCGATGGTTTTCTCACAAGATGCAAATGCACTAGGGTGCTTTAGAATAATTGTAATATATGAACAATTAGTGGTCTAAGACAGATGTGGCTAGAAATGTCTGCCTAATTGAAGTGAATTGCTTCTGATTGTGCTTAATATATTGAGTTGCCAATATATTCTTTTCTATTAAATCTGTCTATTGATAACTGGTGTTTTCTCTTCTCTATCCTCCGCAGGAACCTTTGATTTGCCTATGAAAAATTGATGGCTAATCTAACAACATCAATAGTTTCAGATTCCTTAGAACAGAAGGGAATTCATATAGTGGAATCAAACGTTGACATGCAAGCTCCAATGATCCAGCAAAACCAAAGCTCTTCAGATGGTCCTGTGGCTATCCTCTGGGACATTGAGAATTGCCCTGTCCCAAGTGATGTCCGCCCAGAAGATGTGGCTGGTAATATAAGAATGGCTTTGCGGGTGCATCCGGTGATTAAAGGAGCTGTTATGATGTTTTCTGCATATGGAGATTTTAATTCATTCCCCAGACGACTCAGAGAGGGATGTCAGAGAACTGGTGTCAAACTCATAGATGTTCCAAATGGGAGAAAGGATGCTGCTGACAAGGCTATCTTGGTTGACATGTTTCTTTTTGCCCTTGACAACCGTCCACCTTCTTCCATCATGCTGATCTCAGGGGATGTTGATTTTGCACCAGCCCTTCACATCCTTGGTCAACGTGGGTATACGGTGATCCTTGTCATCCCGTCTGGAGTGGGTGTTTCGTCTGCTCTTTGCAATGCTGGCAAGTTTGTTTGGGACTGGCCCAGTGTGGCTCGTGGTGAAGGCTTTGTGCCTCCTGCAAAGGTTTTGATGCCTCCTCGTGGAGCACCTGATCTCACTGGGTACTTAATGGGGTGCCATATTAATGATTGCACAGATCCTCAAAATGAAGAGGAAGCAATTGTTTATAGGGGAATCTCGCAAAGTTATTACAAATCTAAAGACTTCTCAATTATGTCACAGTCCTTGTCCGAGTATGCCAGTACATCTGCAATCAACTTGCCTTATTTTCCTACATCCTTAAGGACCCAAAGTCTACCACCTGTTTTGAATGAAGTTTCAGCCGGTCCTGTGTCTTCTGTTGAACAAAATGATTATACCATGTGGGTTCAACCTGGAGATATTAAAGGTTTGAAAGCACAGATGGTGAAGTTGCTTGAACTGTCTGGAGGGTGCTTGCCTCTTATTCGTGTTCCTGCTGAGTATCAGAAATTATTTGGGAGGCCCCTGTATGTGTCCGAGTATGGGGCATACAAACTTGTAAATCTCTTCAAAAAGTTGGGTGAGACAATGGCAATAGAAGGGAGAGGCCAAAGGAAATTTGTCTACCTCCGAAACTGGAAAGCAGGTCCAAGTGTAATTCTAGCGAGGAAGGATAAGAAAGTAAAGGGTTCTCAGGAGGAGAGTATGAATACCAGTGGCGCTTGTGGTTCATCAGATGAGCTTTCCGATGATGAAAGAGTGGTTGTTGAAGAACAGGATGTGGGAAGGAACCAAGTGAAAACAAATATGGGGATGATGAGTCAACCAGAGATTGATGACCAAAATCTCAAGCAGTTCAAGCTTGAACTGCAAGAGATTCTAGTGAGCTATTCTTGCCGGATTTTCCTGGGTTGTTTCGAGGCAATATACCAGCAACGATACAAGAGGGCTCTGGATTATCATAAATTTGGTGTGGATCAGCTGGAGGAGCTGCTTGAAAAGGTGAGCGATGTCGTTGTTTTGCATGAAGAACCAGTGAGCAAGAGGAAGTTCCTGGTTGCAGTAGGTGGCTAAAGGAAAGTGAAAGTTGCCACTCCTTGTAACCTTTTTTTTTTTTTTAAATTTTCTTTTAACTTATGTAGATGCAGTGATCGAGGTACGCTTTTTAGTCCTTAAATCACTCAATCAAGAAAATTTCTTCTTTTTCTTCATCCAAAAATTTCAGAAAGATGATAGGAGACTGTTGATGGCCTGCATGGATTTGAAAGTTTATTTTGAAAATTTCCATGTAAGCCTCGATCGCAGCCTGTGTAACGTATTGATTAAATTCTAATGTGAGATTTGTAAGTAAATCCACGGTTCAGTATCTCTTAGTTTTGCCCAGTTTATATATTCTGATTTGCTCTTCTGTGTATATATCTCTGTGAATGATTCAGTCATATAACTTCTGGATGGGCAATCTCTATCCTGCCTCACTTGTCAGCAGAATTCACCATTTAAACATGGTTTTCTCATGGTCAACTGTGATGTTTGGTTTCATTGAATCATATTGTGCCTGTAAGTTTTAGACATTAGTGGATGATTTTGAGGTAGAAATAGATCTTAATGCTACAACTAGAACAGGGTTTTTAGTAGCTTAGCTAATACAAGAGATTCAATACATGGAATGTTCTACCAAGGTTATGTAGAGGAGGGAAATGATTTTTTAGCCCCACCATTTTCTTCTTTAGCCCTCATCTAGTGATGGCAATGGGCCGGGCCGGGATCGGGTACCCTTTGGCCCAGGCCCAAGCCCGACCCCATGACAAAGACCTGAGCCTGGCTCGAGCCCATCATGGGTATGATAGGTAAAGCCCGAGCCCGACCCGACAGGTTTTTTGTAATCTCAGGCCCGGCCCAAGTCCACCCATTTTTATAATATGAATTTTTAAATATTAATAAATTTCAATGTTTTTTATATTTTTAATTCTAAAAATATTTTTTAAATATTTATTTATTTTTGAATACTCATCAAATGGGATGAGATTAGGGTTTGGGAAAAATTGGTATATATATGTAGGATAATCTTGCAATTAAATATATAGTATAAAGATAATTTAGTAAAATTAATACTAAAATTTTCGGGTCGGGCCTTAAAATCAAGCCCAAGCCCGCAAACATTGGGTAAAGCTTGGCCTTTTCAGGTTGGGTACTCGAAAATATCGGGCTCATTGCCATCTCTACCCTCATCTTCTACTTTAAGTGAGGATATAACTGTAATAAAATTTTTATTCGTATATATATATTTGCTAATTTAGATGTTCGGACTAGTTTACGCGTACCTCGACTAATCCTCAAGAGAAGTTATCTTACAACAACCTACTGTCGTGGTCGAAGCTTTATATTTGTAGTTATATTAATATTAAAAAAAAAAATAGGGTAATCTAAATTCATAATTTTATAAGTAAATTAAATCTTATATAATTATTAAATACTTAATGTTTCTCCTATAACGATAGGAATTAATTTTCGAATGTTATATTTTTCTAGCCCTAAAACAAACACAACTACTCTTTTATATTCTTTTGGATAGTTCTTTGTTAGTTTCTTTCTTCTATTTTTTTTTTTTTTTTTAAGTTTTATATTTTAAAAAACCGTCAAGAATTACATTAATTGGAAAATTAATCATTTTATCAGGAAATACTAAAACTTGAATCAAACAAGATGTTTATACTAGTTTTTAGAGCTAACGGTTTCATAAAAATAAAAAATAAAAAATATTTTGAATATTGAGCGAAATTATAAATGTGTTTATAAATCATTTTTAAATTTTTTGAATATATATGAACCATTGTTAATAATTTTAATAAATACTATTACGCCCGTATCTAAGTTAGAGGATAGGAGAAGGGACAAAAAAGATGGGGGGCCAAAATGTATTTAACCCAAAACTTATGGGCTTGAGGCCCGCAAGCCCATCCCTAAATAGATCAATAGAATCGGAAAAATAAAAGGGTCGCAGAACTGTTCTGCCGGAGAAAAGGGAAAGAGGGAGAAGCGTCCTGCGATTTCTACTCAATTCCGTTGGGGTTGATTTCAATCAAAACCTAGCTTTTGAGATAGAACTGGAGAGGAGGAACTAGAAGTTTCGAGCTTGGGAAATTGTTGGGCTGATCAGTCCGAGGTAGGGAACTTTGATTAATTGATATTTCGAAGACCAAAAATTGATATACATATGATTTGTTTTTCAAACTATATGGTCAATAAGTACTGTGATCTTATTGCTGTAATCGTTTTTTTTTTTTTTTGGTTGCAGTTCAGGCTCTTGAAACTGCTGATACATTATGGTGAACGCCATTAAAGGACTGTTTATTTCCTGGTGAATATCCATTTACTAATAAAATATTTTGTTAATTGTACAGAACAATGGTAAACCTATGGATTGGCTAATTGTTAATATATTTGAAACCTTTATGAGGCATTTTTTAAGCTTAGCGGTAGGTATTTTCCAGATTAATATTTAAACTTATTGTCTGTTGAAGGACTGGATGGGAGGTTAAGATGAGTATAGTAGTACTGTAAGTTCATACCATTATGTTGCTTGATCATTCCATTCATGAACTGCTATAACAACTTTATATTATTGACTGAAGAATTTGAAAGGATTTGCGCTAATTTACCTATAGTAGTGCTGTAAGTTCGTAACATTATGTTGCTTGATCATTCCATTCATGAACTGCTATAACAACTTAATATTATTGACTGAAGAATTTGAAAGGATTTGTGGTAATTTACCTTCAATTATATATTTTGAGCTGCCTTTTTATTCTAAAACGTATTCCATGCTCGTAACAATACAATTTAGTAGGTATACACTGCAAAGGGAGGTCCATGCATATTGCGCTTGTGACATCCTTTTCGCTTAACGTTTTCTCACTTCCTTTCCCTTTGTTGCTGAAAGACTTCTGTTGTGTTTAAATTGCAGTGACATACCCATGGCACAATTCATCATTAACTTAAATGCATCGATGCCCACGTCACAGAAATTCATAATACACATCTTGGATAACACTCACATGTTCGTGCAACCACATGTAGCTGAAATGATTCGAAGTGCCGTTGCTGATTTTAGGGATGCAAATTCCTACGAGAAGCCTACATAATTTCCTTTTCTTTTCCCTGTGGTAAAGTTATATGTGAAAGATTTTTATGTATTCAAAGCTTTCTTTCACCTATTTGGATAGACGTAGACGTCGACTGTTTAAACTGGATCAGGTGCTTCGAGCAAGATACTTTAAAGTTGGAAATGTGATGGATACATATGTGTTTTGCTGTGAACAATGCTAGTCTGCACTATTAATTACAGAAATTTTTATTAGTTTGTAGTTGTTGTATACTTGTTTCTTTAGGTACCTGTGGACTTGAAAAGCAAGTTGTGTTTTGGTTTATTGGTTGCCATGAAGTGTGATTGTTGTGTTACTATTCAATAGTTAAACTGATAGAGAGCATACTACCAGAAATATGAAGAACATATTGGCCAACTTAAAATTTTTAGACATTATCACAGTTTAAGATAAGTTCATGAATTATATAATCACTGAAGTAGCAAAGGAGACAAGTAGAAAAGCAGTCTACCAAATTATAGATTAGTACTTGATTGATGTGAAGAGTTAGAAATGCTCCATCTCCTAAAGTTCAGTTCCTGTTCTTGACCCATGACCGATATAAGCTCAAAATTTCATTCGTAACTCAGATCTTCTTTGTAGTTGCTCTGTTCCATGCCTCGTTTCATACGGAACGTCTAAGTGCTCTAGTTCTTTATATTTCATACACAATTCCATTCATACGATATGGTTAACTAGAATTAGACCATACAGTGTCACAGTGATGAACAAAAAAATCACCCTTTTGAAGGGCCCCGAGCAGCAAATCAGCTAACATTTTCTGTAATAACACCACTTGAGGCTCCAGAAGCAGTGGCCCTCAGTGTCAACATAAATAAATCCTATACAATATTGACCTCTCCCATTCCCTGTAAAGATGCACAAGGTTGAGCTTATCCCTTCTGCAAAAGATGTGCACCTATCATAATTATCATTTTCAATGAAGTCTCACAATTGTAGGACTTACATCTCCACCATAAACCAATGACTGAAAAGACAATCAACTACAAAAATTGACAGACAAATGATGCCGAAGAATCATGGTATTAACTATCAGGAAAAGATGACACTTATGACGGAGAGAATTTGACTTCCTAATCCATTAATTTCAGTTATCAAGACACTTATGTGCAGATAAATCATAATCTCTGACTGAATAATGTATTGATAGTTCAGAAGTATACAATATTTTTGGACTAGCCGTAGTAACCTAAAATTTTTTTTTTTTTTTTAATTTTTTGATGATCGGGGGTGTTTGGGTCGGCTTACATGCACTTCAACTAATCTTTCGTAACCTCGAAACTACCGGTTGAGTAAGAGCTCCAACGGTTATTCCTATTAACAATCGAGAAGAGACTCTAACTCAAGACCTTTTAAGTAATATATTTTCTTTTGATAGGAAATGATGTCAATCGATTGAAGCCTGCTAATAGAAAAAGGGATTTGGGATATATAAATGTAGATAGCCAGTGTCGCCAAAACTGCACATACAAAATTACAAATGATAAAACTCATACATACCAAATGTCTATCAACACCAATAAACATTAACTGCATGAAAGCCTTGCTTCCCAACTAATCTCTCAATTCTTATTAACAATTGCTTATTTCAGGTTTCACACTATCTCCCTCCAAATCTTTCATTAAATTAACTTCAACAACATGATTTACAACTCTATAAAAACCTCATCCATCCTCAGGTTTTGCTTCATTGCAAGCTAAACTTGTTTACACAGAGTCTCTTCTGCCAGAATTGTCAACATGGGAAGCGAAAATATCCCGCAAGGAACTTTCTCAAAGATGCCAAACCCTGGCAAGGCTACTATTCTTGCCATCGGCAAGGCCTTCCCTCACCAGCTTGTTATGCAGGACTATCTCGTTGACGGGTATTTCAAGAACACCAACTGCAACGATCCAGAGCTGAAAGAGAAGCTCACGCGACTCTGTATACTTAATAAATTTCATCTCTTTTGTTTGTTTTTGCTCAATATATCATGCAGCCTTTAGTTTAAACTTTTGAATCGGGTGATTACTTAAACATGTTATGAGAATAACTGTCGGTTTTCTCTTTATGGCATCTTGCAGGCAAGACAACGACTGTTAAAACAAGGTATGTGGTGATGTCAGAAGAGATCCTGGAGAAATATCCGGAGCTTGCTGTTGAAGGCCTCCCTACAGTAAAGCAACGGCTGGAAATTTGTAATGATGCTGTGACACAGATGGCCATTGAAGCTTCACAAACTTGCATCAAGAACTGGGGAAGATCCATATCAGATATAACCCACTTAGTCTATGTCTCTTCAAGTGAAGCTAGGCTGCCTGGTGGTGATCTTTACCTTGCCAGAGGGCTTGGACTCAGCCCCGAAACTCATCGAGTTTTGCTGTACTTCATGGGCTGCTCTGGAGGCGTGGCTGGTCTCCGTGTAGCAAAAGACATTGCTGAAAACAATCCTGGAAGTAGAGTTCTGTTAGCTACTTCTGAAACTACTATTATTGGGTTCAAGCCACCAAATGCAAATAGACCGTATGACCTGGTTGGTGTTGCACTCTTTGGAGATGGAGCTGGAGCCATGATAATAGGATCTGACCCAAATTCAATCACTGAAAAGCCTCTCTTTGAGCTCCACACAGCAATTCAGAATTTCCTGCCAAATACTGAAAAAAGTATCGATGGACGGCTCACAGAAGAGGGCATTACCTTCAAGCTTGCCAGGGAGCTTCCTCAGATAATTGAAGATCACATCGAGGGGTTCTGCACGAAGTTAATGGACACTGTTGCATTGAGTAACAAGGATTACAATAAGATGTTTTGGGCAGTTCATCCCGGGGGCCCTGCAATATTGAATAGGATGGAGAAGAGACTTGAGTTGTTGCCGGAAAAACTGAATGCCAGTAGAAGAGCTCTGATGGACTATGGCAATGCTAGTAGTAACACAATTATGTATGTACTGGAGTACATGATTGAAGAGGAGCAGAAAATGAAGAAAGTGGAGCAAGGTCAAGGAGATTGTGAGTGGGGTTTAATATTGGCTTTTGGTCCTGGAATTACCTTTGAGGGAATTCTTGCCCGTAACCTCAGTGTCTGAAAACATACGGGACCTCAAGTTTCATTCATACCAGGAGTCTTACATATATTCTCCTGAAACTAATAAAAGTATCACTATATTTGTCTTTTCCTTGGGCCCAAGTATAGATATATGAAACCCCATAATTCATAGATTGTATCTCTTATTTCTGCCTTCAACGTTAAAACACAATATATGGGTTAATGAAAAAAACCCCGTATAGCTAGGTTTATACAACCAGTCAATAAAAACATATCACATCATAACATGTAACCTGCGCATCTCATGATTAGATGGTTATACCTATCTTAACGTCAAGAAAGTTTTTTATCAAAATGAAACTTTCAAATAAGTAGGTCTGATGATATCCTCAACCAATGATGAAGGTTTATTGCAAGCTAATGTATTCATATACAATAATGAATCACAAGAGTGCATGTTCTGCAATTTTGATCGGAAGCAAATACTACATTTGACAGTTTCATAGCGCTGCATTTCAAAATCCAAAGGGAAACCTAAGTTTCTGTCCAGCCAAGTAATGTCAAACTGAAGTATCTGCAAAATGGGGCTATAGGCTGAGTGATGCATATAAGAAAAGGATTTTATTTTCAATTCATTCACAAAAGCATACAATATGAATTCAGAATAAAGCATATCATAAGGTGGAGGCACAACAAAGTTAAATAATAAACTCAACATCTAATATGAGCAGAAGATTTGTGTCTGCACAAAGCTAATCAGGCTATAAAAATCATGTTTAAAGTATAAATATCCACCCAAATTTTTGGCATCCCCAACTTTACAAACCCACTGTCTTCCAAATTTCAAATCATATCTGAAAGAGAACCAAAACCCGTGGAGAACAAAAAGGGAACTTGTATGAGGGCCACCAGCCACATTCTCTGATTAAAGTTACTCTTAAGTATTCAGTTACACTACTCCTGAAGGAAGACGAAGGACAAGCTGTCCTCCAAAAACACTGCAAAGAAAAAAAAATTGTTATCAGCATAAAACAAAAAATGTTGGGAGAAAGCACTCCTTTAAGTTTCAAATCCATATGCACTTCACCCACTAAAGATAAACGCAAAGTCTGCAACCCACCTTTTGACATAATAGTAACAGAAATCAGCCAATATGAAAGTTTGAACAATCTCTGAGATAAGAACCATTGAAGGCCACAATCCATAGCCCAGGGCAACTAGCAAGTGTCCACGAGTATCCAGCACCTGTCAAAAGCAATGAAGATAACACCTAAGTGGCATAAACTAGTAAATATTGCCATAATAGATCTCAGTAATAACAGCAGCAACATAAAGTGAACCAAATCAAGTGCTATTTCACCAACAAATTTTTTCCTCCCAGGAGCATTACATCAACTAAAAAAGCTTTGCAGGTGAACCATGTTCTTACTGTACACTAACAGTAACTTGAGCAACACATGCAAGCTTGCTTCATTGCTGGCATATACAATAGGATATAGTAGCGTTTAAATGAGTTTACAGAAGCACAGAGTCAATAGTCTGTGATTGCAATCATACACAAATACTACTACATGATTTTCTCATATCACATATGCAAAAAGTTACTAGGATTATCATAAAGATGCCTATCCAAAAAATGATGCCAATGTTACTGCCCTATTATGCTAGCCAGTAAATGCACCATACAACAATTAAAAGCTTCGTCATGTCAACCTATGCCACCAAAAACACTGAGTGGTGGTATAAATTGAATGATGAAATTATTTTAACACATATTCAAGTAGACACCATATCAGCACACACAAATCTATAGTTTCTTATCAGAGAAAAAAAAAAAACATAAGAGCAAACTTAAACCAGTTTTATGAATTCAACTCTATAGAATCAAACCTGGAGAACCCAGTGGGCACAGCTCAAAAACCTTGCAACACCCAGTGCAAATACATAATGGGCAGTAAACGGTTCAACAATCTGAAAGCAGAAAAAGAAAAAAGATTATATATTGGGGAAAGCACAAAAGCACAAAAGGAG